GGGGTAGGGAAAGGCACAGGCTGCCTGTTGTGGGCTCCTGCCCTGCTGCCCTCCCCTGGGGCCTCCGCAGCCCGGTAAGTACGACTTGGCGTGGCAGGGAACAGCGGGGCACATGGGGATCTCCTTGCCGCTGTGAGCTCCGTGCTGCCCTGGCAACGCATCCCCTGTGCATGCAACAGCAGTGAGGGGCACAACCTTGCGCCGCTGCCCTGCTGCTGCCGCACATGCACAGGACATGTTGCCAGGGCAGTGTGGAGCTTGAAGTGGCAAGGAGATCCCTGTGCAGCTGCACTGTTCCCTTCAGTGCCAGGTTGCACCCGCCAGGCTGCAGGGGCCCTGGGAGAGGGCAGCAGGGTGGAAGCCCAAGACTGCAGCAGGCAGCCTGTGCCCGCCTGCCTTGCACCATATCTGGGGGGCACTGGTCCCCCTCGTCTCCCCAGGAGTGTGCACGGCAGGGGGGAGTTGCCCCCCCCTACCCCCGCCCCCGGCCTGCTGTAGGCAGGCAGGCTCTGCTCCACTGCAGCAGCCGCCACCTCCTGCGGGGGGCAGGGGGCTGTGGACCTGGGCCCCTGGCCCCATAGCCCTGGCAGTTGGGGGCCCCCTTCAGCAGGGCTGGGGGTGGCATGGACAATAATCGTAGAGAAGTTGGAAGATGGTAAATGCTTCTCTTCCTTTTAATTCGCTTCACTTTGTACACTTATTCACATCCTGACTTCCATTTGATATCCTTTTTATTGTGTTTTTCACATGCATCATTCCTGGCTGTTTTTTTATAGACATCAAAGATATGTTACTCCTTACCTCCCTCCTCCTTCCCTCTCTCTCTCATTTTTTTTTTAAGAAGAGAAGGGCTTTACTGTAGTGTCTCCATCTAAAAATGACATTTCTTTCTGTGTTTTGGTGTGGATCAGCTGTTCTCCTGGCTGAAGAACTTCCAGACTATGGATGGCAGAATTTAAATGACCTGATATTTAAGAAGGTTGTAATATGCTTCTCTCACTTTGGGCTAAGTAGTACTGTGGAAACATGAAATATTATCCTTATACTCACATGGATTAGCTCCGTCTGCTACTATTAACATTCGTAAAGAACTGAGGCTGACATCCCTTTGATCTCGCTGAGCCAAAAGTGACCAGTGCATATCACGTGATTTTACTACTGCTACACGAGCTGAATGGGAAAATATAGCAAATCTAAGTAATAATTTAAAATAGGCAGCATGTGCAGGGAATACATTGAAAATAATAGATACTTCAGTAGCTACCATTAAGTAGTATCATCAAGTATGAAAAATTGTTGAGTCAAGCTGTAAAACCAGAACTTAAATATTGGTGGCAGTTCTCTGAAAGTTGTTACTAAATTTTCACATGCATAATTTGCAGATTACTACTTCAAACTGTACAAGAAATAGTAAATTCTTTCTTACTCCAAGAATCCTTCCCACTGCAAAAACATATTCAGCACCTCCAAGCGAACTTAATTTTAGAAACTGAAAGCTTCTCATCATTCTGAATGGTACTGAGCTGAGGAAATATGCTCACCCTCATTCTCTGAATGCCCAGGGACACAAAATGGTGGCATGCTTCTTCATTCTTTAATGCATCAAAGAAAAATGTAACAATGAAGTCCCTAATTCAGAAGGCTCAGGCCTCAACTTGAGCAAAGATTAAAGGAAATCAGAGGTGATAAAACAGCAATGGCACATGTTTGCACATTCACAGGTGTTTCTCTCAAACATGTCCCATTGCAGGAGCGTGTACGCATGCATGTGTGTGCACACACATGTGCATCCTGTCCTCACCCTAGATTTCATCTGACCTACTTCCAGAGCATCCCACTGTATCCTGCTTTTTGTCTCAATGTAGGATGGATGGTCAAGTAAAAGCACTTTAAATTACCTTTGTACGAGCAGACTTTCTGTATCCAGGAAAGCGGATTAACCTTCATTAATGCATAGGGAATACTGATAACATGCATTCTGTTCATAACACTCTGCAAGGCAAATTTTCAAATTCATTTATTCTTTGAGATGTTTTCAAACAGTAACACATTGGTAAACTTGCAATATTACAGTTGTAGCATAAGTAGTTTAGTGGCAGTAACAGCACTGACAGTTAAAAGCACGCCTAACTAATAAAACTTCAGGTATGCCTATCCAGTCTATTGCTACAGATTAGAAAGTATTTACACCCTCAGAGAAATACATTCTGAGATATTGCTACAGTTTATGTATTCATTGAGATACCAAAATGCCAAAGATGCATTAGTCTACAGTATACAGTCCTTTATTATTTAATTCACTTAAACACTCACCGTTAATACTCCATGCCACAATCCAGCATCCCTTTTGAAATCTAGTACATTTGTTAATGTTTCAGCTGAAAGCACATAAAGCTTTTGGTTACACTGCTGAATACCACACCCATCAAACCTACAGGACATTTGAGAAACAGTATATCCTGCCAAAAATGCTACAAGATTTGCCAGGCTTCCAGGAAATTAACAAAAATTGTACAAACTTCCCTGTTACGTATAATACATAGTTTCAGACAATAAGGTTAGAGAAAAAAACATAGTTAACTGCTATCTTTGCAAATTTGATTGGGGCATGTGTCAGATTGGATTTTTCTTCCCTATGCATCACCACCAGGTAATAGAAGTTCTGTGGCCAAACTGAGATCTCAGTGATAGAAGATAATTGACTGGGACTTGGGAAGCAATTCTATCGATACACAAAATGGAAAAGAACCCATGGTACACTTCGCAATAACCACATTTATCCTGCAGTGTTAAAACAAGCTAAATTTTATAAGAAATGTGTATTTGTCACTGTGAGCAAATATGACAGCATACAGCAAGTTCTATTGATAAGAAAATGCAGCTTCTTCACAATCATTTTCACGTTAAATTTTTAGGGTCAAATTTTCTGCATGTTCAAGCAGTCCAATAGCACGTGCAAATTAGAAGAATACAATAGTGAGCCATACAAGAGGGGAAAAAGGCAATAGATTCATACTAAACATCAACAAGTTAACTCTCCATGCTTGTGACTCACACAGTCTGATGAGCAATAATTTACCTTGGCTAACCCACGGAGAGCTGCAGAATGCATTTCAACTGCCCAAGAAATCAAATGGTAACTCTCTTTACTTCACCTCCTACTATAATAAATGTATTGCTGATATTTACAGGAAACTAAAAATGCTCCCCCCAACATAAAGAGACTTTGTTTTACCAAGCATAAACATTGCAATGTTTAAAGTCCACTTCTGCAACTTACCTTCAGAATAACTACATGCCTGAGTCAATGCATGACAATGTGCCAACATGGAAGCATGAGATACAGTAATGCCCACTGTGCTGCCCTCTTTACTTGTCTTATACTGAAATGAGAAAATTTATGGGAATTGTAAATTGACATATGTACAAGTTTAATAACAAAGGCTGGCCAACTTTCAGTGCTTAATCTCTAGGACTAGTTGTTTTGTTTTATAATATACAGGATACAGAATTATATTAAAAGAATGAAAACCTTAATATTACATGCATTTATACTAAATATAAAATGGTACATTATTTTGATAGTTTTCTTGACCCTGCCATTTGTAAATTACTTATTTTGGAATTACAAGATGGAACATGATACATCTTATCACTATCCTGACCATTTTGCTGAGGTGCAGCCACCTGTTCTCTTTGCCCCTTTCTCATTTTAGCCAGTGTAATCCTCAGGTCAGAAAACTCTGTGCCTGCCTTCATGTTTGTAGAGCGCCCAGCAACTTCAGAATGCAAGTCTCATTGAAAAACAATGATAGTCACTTAAGAACTATGAATATTTAACCTAAGGAAAATTGCATGGGACCACAATTAAAATAATATTGGACCATATAAGGAAAAAAATGTATACATTTTGTTTTCCTTTTTCAATTAGAATAGAAGTAAAACAAGAAGATGAAGATAGTGCAGGACTGGAAAAAATGGTAAAAAAATCAAGGTCAAGTATCAGCAGAGGATAATGCCTTTCAACATCACTTAAAATCAGATGTACAGGGCAGGAATGGCAAAGGACTCTGATAGTAGGACTCTGATAGTACAATGTAAGCAACTAGTCTCTACCCTACCTTCTGCCTGTATGACAACGTGACCATGACTAGCAAACTAAAGATTAAGAGATACGTTCTTGCTCTACAATAGAAAAGAGGTAATCTACTATGCTAAAGAACAGCATTTCTCAACACTACACAAAGCAATATTAGAAAGAAATGCTGTGTGGACTAGGCGCCAGCAGTGTAAGTTTGCATGTTAAACACATTATATTTATTCACCTCAATATAGGCAATATCAGCACTGGCATCCCGTACTTGTGGATGCCAGTCCTTTGCCGGCTTGGCCAGATGTTTTCCATCAATTACAAACCAAATTAGACGAGGCCAACCTTAAAATAAAAACAAAGAAATGATTATTAAAACAACCCAAAATAAACATTTTGTTTTTCAATATTTTGGGACACCAACAGCTTAGTTAGGAAGAAATGCCAGCACATGCTGCTGACAGAAAAAAGTGGAATGAAAGTGATTAACTACTTGATTAAAATATTTGCTTTGGCAGAGGTGGGTCATTTTCAGATTTCTCTGCACTGCAGTTTTTATTAATAAGCACAGCTAAAAATGCGTAATCAAAATCAAAGCTGTAAATGTACAAACATCGTCCCAGCTCAATATTCTTTGTTCTACAGAAAAATGATGGATAATAAAAAAGTGTACCTTTGAACGTAACCACTTCTCCAGTTTGAGCTTTAGGGAGGCCTTTCTGACAAGCATCTGTTGTCAGAGCCAGTGTTACTCCACAACTGCCCAAGAGAAATCCAATCTGCTGGCTGCCAGCATCCTACAGAAAAGCCACAATATCAGAATAAACATGCCATAGTAAAGCTTTATTAAATTCTGCCATGTTTAGAACATACACAAAGTTAGCTGTTAATATACATTTTCCTCAACACCACATATGTCTTTGCACTCACATAGGTAGAGACTTTTCAATAAGAAATCTACGCAAGTACTTAGTGTGGTGCCTATTAGCACCTGACTGCTGCGTATCTGAATCTTTTGACCCAAATTCATTTAGTTACACTGTCAGCAGGCTGGACCCAGACCAGATGAGTTTGACACCTTTGCTCTATAGGGACCAGAACCTTCATATACAAATACCCTGTTTTCATCCATGGATCTTAGTTATGAAAAATGATGTTTAACATACTCTTTACAAAGTACATAGGTTTTTGCATAGCAGTGGTTATCTCTAACAACTTTTCATGGGAAAGATAAAATTAAAAACCTCTAGTCACAAAGGAACAGCCATGTGTGGATGGTAGAAAAACAATTAAATTAAGTTAGGGAAATAATATATTGGAAGTATCCTGATGCAATAGATAAGGCTAAATGCATTAGACTACCAGTTCCCAATCTGTAGTACGAGTAGTGGTACGCAGACAACCTGCCAGTGGCATGCGTTAACAGATTTATTATAATTACTTTATATGACAAAAATTTGCTGGTGGTACTTAAGGCTGTATTATTTTAAATTGGTGGTGCACAATCTGTCAAGAGTTTGGGAACTGCTGCTTAGACAGCCAGGTCAATCCTACACTAAAATATTACAACAAAGCAAAGTGTCCATGTATAACCTTGAAATATTAATATGGAAGGATATACTTTTCATTGTTTCTTGATTTGCAACATCCAGTAGAGCAAGGAATACACATGATACAAACTAAAATCACACTGGATTATGTTAAGTCTCTGTTATAAGACAATGGGTCGGAATAAATTTTAAAATGGTTTAGCAATTAAGCTTTTTAGGTCAAAGATTTTAATTAATTTCAACTACATCATTTATCAATTCACGATACTTTTGAAGTGTTTTTTCAGATATAGCGTCAACCTATTTTTACCATTCTGCCCATTTTTAGGAAAAATAACAATGGTAAATATATTGACTTGTTATGTGCTGTAAATGATTAGCTGGGGTTTGTTTTGTTGTTTTTTGGGGTTTTTCTTCACACATCAGTAAGATGTTAATGAAAGCCTAACAACTTCCTTTAAAAAAACCCAGCACGTTACTTAAGTATTTCATTTTTGCTATTGAGTGACAATATACTAACTTACCTTTCTTGTCAGTGGCACTTCTATTGGCACAGGAATAAGCTCTGCCAGGAGGCACCCATAAAATGCCACCATAAACATCACAGGATCACTGTTAGGAAATACGAGAGCCACCTACAACAAGTAAACTGGTAAGTCTTTGATGTATTCTTTTGGATAACTATGTTCCCCATATATTGTTCAGGTTCATAGTTGGAGATATTGCTGCAGAAGACTTATGAGTCTTAACAGTGTTAAAGAAATGCACATGCACGTGCTTCCGAGTTTATTATACATTCAATGTAGTCTTTTAACACTATTTTAAACTGATGCAAGTCTACATGGGGAATGAAAAAGTTGATGAAGATAGTTGACTCTGCTTAGACTTTTCCGGAAGTGCTAAAGGTTGCATGTCCATGATACACACAAACATTATGAGGCTTTCTTCAGTTAAAGCATTTTCTTGACTCACCCACATTCTTGTGAACAAGCTATATACTTTCTTATCTATACTGCAGCTCTTTGTATACAAAACATGTCTGAAAAGATACTGAAGGCTATAAAGGAAGAGGGGTATGGGGCAGATCAGTCTGGATAGGCCCTGCATAAATACCAGATTAATTCATTCAACGTGGGGAAAAAAGCCTTATTTTGGATTTGAATACTAGCCCAGTGGCAGGAGGGGGCTGCGGCTGAGGCTCTGGCCTTGACCCGGGCCTGGAGGCAGCACCATCAGTAGATGTGGAGTCAGTGGCCGATGTGGTGGGTCCAGATCTGTGGCCAGTGGCAAAAGTCCAGGATCAGGTGGGCCAGGGTTACAGCTGCTGGAGGCACTGCTGCCTGGCCAGAGCCAGGGCAAGAGGTGGGAGAAGGGGAGGAATACAGGGGGCAGGGCAAGTGGCTGGGAGACAGGCGCCAGGGGGTGGAGGCACCAGGGAGGGAGGCGGTGAAGGTGCCTGCCTCCCCACTCCCTCCACTTCAGCTTTCCCTGCCATAGAAGGGGGGTGTGAATTTAAGACAACCCTCCAATAATTAGATTAAATAATTTTCCATGTAAAAAAAATCCAACTATTGCGGTGTCATCTTGGACTCTGGTAAATATAGTACATAAACACAATTAAGGAAAATCATGATGGAATCATAACCCCCAGATGCATAGCTTCTTTTTTCCCCTAGATTTAAGCATTAGTCCTTGCTTATTCAAGAGCTACTCCAGTAGTCACTTACCCTGTCTCCAGGTTTGAGTAGTGGTTCATTCTTACTGGTTAGCCTGTTAAGCAAAGTATACGCTAACTTCAAGCTCCGACTCCACAGTTTACCTGCAATTAGAACAAAAACCTAAGAACAGGCATAACATTTTAAAATTGAAAAGCAAGACTTATTTTAAAAACCTGAAGTGAATGGCCAGCTTGGGACATCATACAACGCCAGATTTTTAGAGCCTAACTAGGCTTTCTTCTTAAAATCCGGCCCCATTAATGTGTTTCAAAGTTCTTAAAATTATTCACCATAGAATTAGTTCAACACTGCATATCATAATCATATGATACATGCATTACTTTTGGAGCAATTAATTCATTGCAGCCATGAGGGAAAGATGAAGACTGTGGCTTTTCCTACAGCCTTTAAACCTTGTTTTGGAACAAAGTGCAATTAAAAAAAAAAAATCACATTTTTATAAGAACATCTAACTTTGGTTTTACAATGCATTATGAATGCAGGAGATCTTCCTGTTCACTTCCTCTCCCATTTGGTAACACAAATTCCTGGGGGCAAATGCTTGTGTGTAGAAGTAACCCTTAGAAAGTTTACCATGTGAATTAATGATCTAAAAAGCAACCTGTGAATACTGTTGATTACTTTTAAAGTAATCAGCATGTTAATGTTTGAATTCAGTGCCAAGAGTGAAGAACTCGCATTTTTTTCAAATGACATTTTATTGAGTATTTTCAGACATCCAGGTTTGTATCCTTAAACAATTACTACTACAGAACAAAAACCAAATTCAATTAGAGCAAATATCTTAATTGAATTTGACTTCCAATTAAGCATGGTACTAGATCTTTGCTCTAGTAACCTACAAATAGGTTACAGTTGTCTAGGGCACCATGGCATAGTACCTCATACTCAGTGGGTGTGTCTACACATGTGCTTTAATGCACACTAGCCTATTTTACTGTGCAACAAAGTGCTATTATGCTAACGCGCAGTAAAATAGGCTATTGTACATTAAGTATAATCTAAAAGGCGTGAGATTGCGCTATTGAGCATTAGTGCAGCTTAATACGCATTCATTTAGTACCTCACACTAGAGGTACAAAATTTAATGCACATTAGGAAAAACACATTGATGCATGTGTAGACGTAACCAGTAAGTAATAGAAGCTTTAAGGACAGAAACTGAAAAACAATCTGTTAGATTATGCTTCATAATGCACCTGGCTATGTTCTTTGGATTGCCTATTTTAAAGAACAATTCTAATCAGCTATGAAACAGCAATATCAACTACTCTTCAGACTATAATTACTCTAAAATATAGCTAGTTACCACTCGCTATATAAACAAAGTCTGAATTTTCAGTCATGACTATCAAATAGTAACAAGAACCGACGTTAATGAAAGAATATATTGTCTTCCAGCAGCAGACAGTGTTAGGTTTTAGAGCATATCTCCACTTAGAGGTCTTTGATTATTTAAATACATAGCTCCTCAAACCAATGAGAATACCTAAAGTTCAGAACAACTGAACAGCTTTTCAAAGCTAAACAACTATATTTAACTCCATTAATTTATTCAATGACAACTTAAGTAATGTTGCATAATTGCCTATTCAGATTTCTCGGATACTTTAATATAATAATGGATTTTTTATAAAGGGAGAGATCAACATACGCAAGGAGAAACAAAAAATTATCTCCTAAAAACATCCAACTAATGAATACCTCCAGTTTATCAATGCAACAGATTTCCATCCTACTAAGCTTCCTTAACATATCTAGATATAGATCTTCTGTTCAACTATCTACCTTGAAAATATGAAGAGCGCACTTTTTAGTCATCTGCTCCTTCCTTCACACTTAGACATAACAGAACGATAGTTATCTTTCATCTGCTCTTCAGTGAGGAAGTCCAATTACTGTAGCTATTGTTAATGAAAAAGCCATTTGATGAAGAACGGCTGATTCCTTAATAAATTCTCCTAGGATATTGCTTTCATTTGCTCTGCGATATATACAACAGTTAGTGGTCTAGCAAGCTATATTCTGAACCTAACAAGGTTCTCAGGAATGACTGACCATTCTGATTACAGTTCCCTCTAAAGTGAAGTAAACAGCTCATTCCCCAAGTACCTTCTTATGTTTAAGGAGAAAAAAAAAAAGTCAATACTTGCCATATGTAAGCGTATAGATGGGTTTTCCAGTAGTATCCAATGCTGTTAGACAAGGGGCTTTTGGCTGAGTGGTACCCCAGCGCTGCAAAGCTGACAACAGAGATGGAGGCCAATTGGTTACCACACCTAAAGGTTCACCTTTAAGGACAGCCATCGGAGTTCCTTCAGGCTTTGGCTGATTGGGATCAGGCTGTTGTACTAAAAACAAACAAACAAACAAACAAACAACAAAAAACACAAAACCCCACCAAGATGATTAGTTATGAAAAGTTAATTCTTGAAATGCCTGCTCTTTTCACTAGCTTTTCTTTATTCCATTAACTACTCCCATCTCCTCACTCTTGACAGCTATATCAGATTTATCTTAACGTTTAGAATGATGCTGTTCTAAGGATTTGCTAGCTTCTTCACCATCAGACGAAAGTTTCTACGAAATGTTTGAAAAGCCAAGTCCTCTATTAGTCAGAGACTTTGCCAGGTGATTAGTGAATTTGAACCCCAAATTCTCCCTCTTACTCTGCTATGGAAAAAAGATATTTTGCTTATCTGTTTGCTACCCATCTTGCATCAAGGTAAACAATTGGAGAAGCATTAAATAGCAGTCCCAGTGATCACTGATACACTCCTTTTTGGGGCAAAAATTAGTCAATTGGTTGCTGCTGATAAAGAAAGATGTTTAGACATGAATAAGTGTATAAAACACAAGCTATTTGGAATGCTTCTATTTGAAAGGGAGTATTACAGAAAAGAGGTCACAGAGATGAGCAAACACTTAACATTCCTAATCGTTTAAAAGATAGAAAACCTATATATCACCACAAAGGAGCAAAAATTGTAACAACATTTTTAACTCTTTACCAGATAGTCTGTACTATTTTATTGTTGTTTGATGTTGTAATATTTAGAAGTTAATTACAGTATGACTGCTCCTGTTGATAATTTGTAATAAAATTCTTACTGAAAAATTTAGCCCAAGTGCAAATGTTTCATTAATTTCTCAACATGAGGAAAACAGAGGATAAGAAACTTTTTTTCCAAGCTTAAATGGTGTGATTATTTTATTAAAAGTGTTATTAAATTATTAAAATTAACATTATTTTGTTAATCGTGTTATTAAACAATGTCAGTAAAAATTAAAAAAAATGTTTATATTGTGGTATGTTACAGTACCAACACCAAGAGCTAAAAAAATTAGTAGACCTCATATTGAGCCAAGCACAATGTGTTATCTAATTGCAAAAAACAAGAAAAGTAATGAGTAAATTGCTAAGAAATACCAACATTACAATCAAATGGCAGCTTCTAATATATATATTGTATATATCAATACCATCTGAAGAAGCAAACATGCCTCCCTCTGAGATAGTTAATGCGAAAAATTAGAAAACTGTGGAGATACTACAATTTAGTAAAATATTTTACCCTGGTGTTACCTTCAAGTAGTTCTTCAAAATCATCTACAAAGAACTCTTTCAACGGTGGACGCTTTGGTCTTTTTAAAGTGTTTAGAAGCTGTTGGATTTTTGAGGAAACTCTACTATTCACTGGAACACCTGTCAAATCCACACAAAGAACACTTAAAACAAATACACATTTTCCCAGTCCTCCATGATAAGAAAACAAAACAGAAAACATTCTGATACTTTTCTAATAACATCTGACTATACACAGCACATTTACACTGCGTAAGGAAAAGGATGGTTTAAGAATACAGTAATTTGTTTGGAAAAGGACTTCAATCCATCAATCATTAAACAAATGCTAAAGTTGCTTTAAAACAATGCCATTTATTAGCTATCTGTCCACTGTGTGCGCACTGTCTGAGAGTCTAATCTTGCTCTGGAAAATGCTGACTTTACAAGGTTAGAAAATACATACGACTAATGTCTATTTTTTTGAAGAACAAGCTTCTTTTTTGTTTTCCAAAAACGTTATTTACTCAGTTTTGAAAGGCAGCAAAGGATAATCTTTTAAAAATTAAGTGAGGCTTTTACTCTTTTAAACACTGGCAAAAAAAATTGCTAAAACATACAATTGGATAGAATGCGACTGATTTATTTTTCATTTTTGCTTCACTCTGGGGGTGATTTCCACTTGGAAGCAATATAAAATTAATGTTCCAAAACTAAAAATAGTGTAAGTCCTATATTGCATTTAGGATTTACTGTAATTGCAAACCCTTTATATTTCCAACGGTAACATTCTCCACTACAAGATGGGAAATCTGGGAAGGATGTCCAAGTGTTCACTCAGTATACAGGAACTTTGAACACTTCAGAGATCACATGCTTAGGCCCTGGGGGAAGTGGGAATGATACGAATCATCTTCAACAGGAGCTCTCTGACAGATCTGTAATAATATTAACTTCTTCAAATGCAGTTCCATCCAGTCCTTTCCTGAAGGACAGTGGCTGTGAGACAAAACATTAATTGAATAAGTTAAATGATTCCATAGACACTATATCAGGCTCCTCTCTGCCTGTATTGAAAAAATTAAATGGGTATTGAAAATCCTGAGATTAAGCAAACGTAGCCGACCCAACCTGATGTTAGACATACATTATATTGAGATATCGAAGAACTGGACATCTTAAAAATATATATATAATTCGTGTGCATCTTCTAAAGATTTCCTGGCCAAAAACCACATGCTGGCTTTGTCTTCCATAGTTCTCTGTATTTCATGAATGAGAAAAGGGAGACTGAACTTCCAAAGGGAGAATGCCTGATCTCCCAAAACACAGCAGGGGGCAAGAAAGAGGATTGCAAGTTGTCTGATTTACATTAAATTGTTCCTGATGCCCCACCCCATGCACAACAAACGGTATAAATCTGCATCTGAAAGATAACATGCTACCAGAAAACTTATTATACAAAATATTACTGGTGTGAATCCAATTAGATTCAGCTATTCCTGGCACTGTATACAGTACAGTAAAATAGCCTGTTATGTTGCTTTTGGGAGCAAACTAAGTATGACAGCAAACATTATATTGCTCTGTTGTCTATTCACTGATGCAGAAAAATGACTGTATGTTTAAGGGTGGGATCTTTTGGACATATTCACCATCTGCAGTTTCTAGGATGCTGCTGTTGTAGCCCCTGGGAACTCCTCGTACAGATGCTACTTGTGGTCGCTCATGATGCAAATGTTCTACAAGGCCTGTGGTAACATCAGGAGGTGCAGAGTGGTTATCTGTGAGAATATAAGAAACAGACAGAAGGTCCATTAGGCATCATAATCATTAGCAAATACAAGGTTGCCTTTCACTGCATGCATATTTTGCTCTAGCTTTTTCCCTGGAAAACTCTTCCTCCAAAAAACAACAACAAACAAACAACCCCCCCCCCCCCAAAAAAAAAAAACAAAACCCAAAAAAACAACCAGTAACCATAAAAGAAACTGGAAAGTGGGAAACAGAAGCAAACAAAAAAACCCTAATGTTGCAACAGACCATGCAGGGTTATTCAAGCATTCCAGGAGAGGTACGAGCTACTGCAACCTGACAATTGATCATAAGAAATTCTGACTGGTAGTCAAGTCCCTTCCCCTTAGTCAATTAGATCAGTTGAGAGATCCATCCTGGATGAACAGCAGGACACAGGATTGAGAGAGAAATTCTCTAGTTTTATAGAAAATAAAGCCCCCAAAATTCAGCCTGAGAAGAGTAAACCACTGGATTCTGGCACAAAAACAGCAGACTCCTTGAAAGAGGAAGAGAAAGGGACAAGTAAGAGAGGGCACAAAGAAGGGTGCAAGGATAGCAGCAAGTACTAATTTTTTATCTGTATTTCTACAGGATACAGACTAATTTGTGGAGAGCCTAGAAGGGTGAGTACTAAAGAGAAAACATACTTGTACTACAGTTAAGCACAAGAGATATTTGTTCCCCAAATAATCAATGGGGTCTAAAAGCAGGTGGGTCTTTCAGAAGGGTGCATGGGCTATTCAGCTGCCTACATGACTTTAATGGTTAGAATACCTTCAACATTTACCTCTGGAGCTTATACCATGTTAGATCATAAAAATATCACAAGTATAAACACCAAACATTTTTGTTCACCATTCTTCAAGTAGGATTATGCTCAGAGCTTTTTGAAACAAGAAGAGATCAGTTACAAACTGGTAGGATAGATCTGGATTTGTCCAGCAGGAGATATTTATTTATTTCCTTGGTTAATATGCCACCCTTCCCAACAAAAGCTCAAGGTATCTTATACAAGACAGAAAAATAACTCATAAATCAAGCAAACAAGAGAACAAAACTAAACAGAAAAAACAAAATAACTTAAAAATTCAAGACAATGCACAGTTCTAAGTTTTGTATTTAATTTTGTATGAAAAAAACGGGAATACATGGGCCCATCAGGGTGTCCCAAGATTGAAAGAACTGAAAGCTTCTAACATTAGTGACTGAGATGCATCTGTGAAGCTACAACTGAGATGGGTTACCGTGTAGGAAATCTCAGCACTCACGAAGCGCTAAGGCCAGAAACAAAGCAACAGCACCAAACATCAGATAGTACCTTGAACCAGAAGTATGTGCTGGCTGGGATCACACCAGGTCCCTTAACCAAAGTAGAGTTCCACGAGTAGTAATCAAAATGTGGATAAGTGGCAATTTAAACTTTCCCTCCCTTTTACCCACTTACTCAGCCAGGACCAATTGTGATCCATATGTGAAAGATTTCATAATACAGGTGTAACTGAGCAAATCCTGGCATCTGTAAGAGGCAATTAGATCAGCAGCAAAGCTTGAACTCATAGAATAGTTACTGGACACCCTGGATATTCAAAATCCTTAAGCAGAGATGCACAAGTGAAAAAAAAAATCTTCCTAGGAAAGGCAAGATTATGCTGCTGTATTATTACAGAAGTTGGGCACGTCTACGAGTCCATTAATGGGCTGCGGTTAATGTGCATTAAGTTTAGTACCTGTAATAAAAGGTACTAACTAAATGCACAGTAACTGGCGCTGCTGCACAGTAAAGCCAGCACACGCCTTTAAGTGATGCTAAGGTGAAGTAGACCAATTCTACTACTCATTAGTGCAATAGCTTGGCTTCACCAGGATGCACTAATGCACAGCAGAATTACTCTACTGAGCATTTAGTGTCTCATGTAGACGTGCTCGGTGAGAGGTATCATTGACAGCAGTGAAGTAAAATAGCTCAGCTTGGTAGCTTTTATTATATAAGTATATCCACTGTGCACTGAAATCAGGCCACAAATGTCTCGTGGGCAAAACCCAAACATGACAAAGTAATATTTAGCATAAATTAGAATTAGTAACAGGGACAATAAGTAATTACTGAATATGAAACCTGACTCGTGCAACCATTTAAGAGGTTTTATGATGGAATATTTAGCATTCAGCATAAAATGAAATGCCATGAGTAGGTCCTCTGTGCTTATTTTTGGTTTCTTTATTAAAAGCTGAAAACATTCTTAAGTTTAATAAAGCACTAGAATCTGACTTATTATTAGCATCAACTTAACTATAAGATGGTAAAAATGAAATCAAATTCACATGAGCCTCATACTACAAGCTGACATTTCTGTTAAGTTTGGTGTCAAGGCTTTTGAGTGATATAAGCTGCACAGGATTGTATTTCCTGAATGCATCACCAATAATCATAATTCAAAAATTACATTGGCTATATGACTTTGCCAGTAGAATGCCACAAGAATAGCATAGTCTCTGTTCCTTTATACAAGCATGCCTATAGTACATACTAAACTGGCACAGATCTAAAACATAATTGTGGCTCAAGAATTCTTTTTACTATGAAAAAAACAGACAAAGAATTCCTCAGAGTCACTGATGCCAGATGCACATGGGGTCGTGCAGACAGCAGAACAGCCATACAGACATACACACAGGTTGTTATCTTTTGCAATTTTCTCTCTGCTGGGGAAAGCTGACTTAGAAGGTGCATTTGATACAAATACTTGAAATTAAGTTATGGAAATAACAAATGCTTGCCACATATTCAGGAACAGAACAGAGAGCAGAGTTACTTCCTAAATTTCATAATGCAGCTACAGCCAAAAATTACTTATCTTTGGCTGGAGATAGATTTTTAAACTTGGGAAATAAACACTAGAAAAAAGTCTGGGATGCCTTCACTTGTGTACAAAATGGTGCATTTAGAAACAGTCACAGCAAGCAAGCCATGTGAGGCAATATCAAGGCATACTCAGAATATGTACGATTTGATTAATGAAGCACCCATTTAAAAAACACAAAGTGAAACACTGGCATTCAATATACAAGGATGCTGATCCATAGTAGCAGGGACCTGTGACAGTTTGTGAGACTACCTTCACCTATTGTTGTTTGGGAAAAACACCTGGGAAAAGAAAAGAATGAGATGGAAAGAATGGTTATGGGCCCTCAGCAAACCTTTCCCCTGCTATCTACATTCAGCTTCAGTTGGTACACATTCAAGAGCAGAATCCAACAGTTACTGGCCCAAAAAAGGCAAGGTTCTTCTGACACCTACAAGTAAATGTCAGAGCGAGTTCAATTTTCAGATACTTTGTCTCAGATTCAAGATTTCCATTCACCAAGCTGTTTCAGCTATCCCTCTGAGGCATGGAGAACTGGGAACTGTAATAATTTACCTGTACCACAGATAGCAGAGGACACTGAATGGTACTAAAACACTGAATCATTGAAGGGTCCCAGGCCACTCAAGAGAAGGGATCAGGCATCAGAGTGGAGATGCACAGAAGAAAATGCAGGACCAAGACAGAGAATTGGGAACCAGACAGAAGGTGATTTCTCTCCAAGGAGAGGCATTTTGAAGTACATGGGAAACCAGATCATGGAGGACTCAAACTGGGAACCTAGACTGGAGACCAATTTAGACCAAAAAATTTGGCTGTATCCAATTTTGTTGTTTTGCCTACAGATACCTAGTCACTGTGGGTGCCTGTACACAATCTCAGAGGATGCTCTGATGCACTGTAATTACATCAAGTCTGCTGTATTAATAGAGTCTGCTGGAGCATAGTAATTATTGTGCTCTAGCAGCCTCCCATGTCTCATGCATCAGTGTCCCCATGCTACAAAACGGTGGTGGGGGTGCTTGAACTAAAGGTCATCAAATGAGCTTCAGTTCAAGCGCCCCTGCCATCATTTGGAACCGTGGGGACGCTGATACACAAGACGCTGTGGCACTTTAATTAGAGCAGCTCTCAGAGCCTCTCTAATTAAAGTGCCGCCCCTCCCACCCCCGAACCAGGTGTAGAAATGTCCTATATGGCCTCAAACTGACTAAAACTAAAAAGAAAAAAACCCATTGAATAAGAAAAATAAGGCAAGTTAATAAAAATGAATCCACCAGGTACCCTGACACAATCTGCACCCTGATATACTTCGTTCTCAGGTACCCTCTCCAGTCCAAACAATTTGAACTCTGTATCAGAGAGCATTTCAGCTTTAGAAAGGTGCAGCAACTGTAAGGAAAGAGGGTCACAGTTTAAAACTCTACACACTACGGTCCTGCTTCATATCTAAGAAAGGGAAATTGACATAAGACTGGAAGGGGCTGACACAAACTCGGGAAGGGTTGAAAACACTTAGGAGAAGATGATTAGTATTCATATGAATCTTGGTAAATTAGAGAACTGGGAACTCAAGAACTGAATGACATTGAACAAAGAGAACATAAAGTGGTACACTTATGGAAGGAAAAGCAAAGACACTAATATAGTATGTGAGAACTGTCTAGGCACTAGGATCTGGGGGTTTTGGTCGATCAGAGATTCAACAAGAATCACCAATGTGACGCGGTTGCAAAAAAATAAAACAGAAAGCATAATGCTGGGTTGCATTAAGAGAAATATTGCATGCAAGTGTAAGGTACTGGAGGTAAAAGTACCACTCCACTTGGTACAGATTAGGCATCAGCTGAAATACAGGGCATAGTTCTGGGCTCTGCATTTAAAGAATTATGCAGAGAAACTGTAAAGGATCCAGAGGCCAGTGAAGACGGAAAAGGACATGGAATGCAAGCCTCATGAAGAAAGTCTGAGAGAAATAGGCTTGTTTAGTTTGGAGAAAAAGGAACTGTGCATATGCATATGTGCACGAGGAGGGGGGACAGGGAAAGAAACATGATAAGCAGCCTTTCAAATATTTGAAGGGTTGCCATAAAGAGGAGGAAGAAAGTGTTCTTCCTTATCACAGAAGGCAGAACCCGAAGCAGATTTAGTGTAATCTAAGGGAAAAAAAAACCCTAAACATAAGAAGAGTGTGACAATGAAACAAGCTGCCCAGGGAACTTGTGATATTTTTTTTTTTTTTTTGGAGGTTTTCAAGAAGAGGCTGGATAAGTATCCATGTAGGATGACTTAGGAATAGCACATCCTGTATTTGTGAAGTGGGTTGGACTAAAACAGGGGTTTTCAACCTTTTTCGGTTGGGGTACCCCCTGCGGCTGGTCAAGAAGCGGGGAGTCCCCCGGCGACGCAGCTGTGAAACTGGAAGTGCCACCGGCTTCTCTGCGCCACTGCCATACACCCCCTGGGGCCTTCCAAAGTACCCCCAGTTGAAAACCCCTGGACTAAAAGACCTTTGCAGTTACCTTCCCACCTTATGATTCTATTATTTTTTAATATTTAAAAATTATTTTATCAATGGTTCTCAGTATCACAGATGATTGCAAACTTCTGACAAAAACGTACAAGAAGCAGGATGGGCGCTATTCCACTAGATCAACGAACAGAATAAACCAGTATTTGAAGATAACCTTGTAAGAACTTTGGCATTCTGTTGATCCTTTAAACACCTAATCCTGAAAGAAGAGCTTCACTGCAATTACAGAAATACTTATACAAACAGAAATTTAATTTTCTAATTTCCCTTTGCTCCTACTGATAAAGATTTTTAAACAAAAAAGTTTCTAAACTAACCAACACAGTTCTAACTGACTTTGCAATGTACCTTAACCTTTTTCTTCTAGGACAGTGGTGCTCAACCTTTTGGCCTCATGGGTCAGATAAGTGGTATGGGGCCAGTCTACAAGGCGGATCGAGCCCTGGGTCCTGGCATCACTCTCTTCCTTTCCTGCACTTCAGGATTGGCCCCCAGGGCCTGGCACTACCCTTTCCCATGCCCCACATGCTGGGGTTGATCCTTGGGGGCTTGGCACCACCCCTTCCCAACAGGATCAGGGCCTGGGTGCCTGGTGCTGCCCCCTCCCATCTCCTGTACTATGGGATTGTGCCCTGGGACCTGGTGCCACCCTCTTTCATCCCCCTCAGGCTGGGGTTAGGCCCTGGAGCCTGGCACTCCCCTGGCCCAGCCCTTTGTGCTAGGATTGGGTTCCCCATCCAGAATCCAGGGCCTGGAGCTCCTCATGGGTCTGGAAACTTGGCAGCAGGGGTTCCTGAACTGCCAAATTTCCAGACCTGTGGGGAGGCCCACAGGCTGGATAACAGTACTGCAGGCCACATCTGGCCTGTGGGCTAGGGGTTGAGCACTTCTGTTCTAGGACAATATAGTTTGTTGCCCTAGAGATTGTCAAATCTAGGTAAAGGAAGGATTTTTTTTTCCCTCTCCGACCAAGTCAGCAAGGATCACTGGGATTTTTTTTTCCTTTTTTTGGCTACCTGTACTGTGGAGGACACAGTCCATTGCCTAAGACTGACCAAGCAGATTTAGTTTCTCTACCACAGTAGGGATGAAAATCCCTTGCTTAACTGTACTGGTATTTATCAACAGGAGAGTAGGGATGTGGTTAGATAACCCCCTGGTGCACAGAGGTATGGCAACTTCCAGTTGCTGCCTCAATCACAATTGTGATTGTATAGGACTAGGTGCTAGCAGCAGCTGCTTTTTATTGGCCTCTCAAATTGGCACCCAGAATAGTGCAGGGGTGCACAGTGCTGGTGAACCACTGGCACTGCCATTGCTACAGTAGTTTATCAATATACCAGACAGTTACAATACCAGACTTGCAGCCATTTTTCCCACTTTCTTCAGCTTCTGGAAAAAAGGCACATGTCTTTAATTCTTACTTTGAACAGGACTACCCAATGCTGTTTCTGCCAGCAGCTGCCCATGGAAGGTCCAAGGTCTAGTCCTGCATAGTCAAAAGGCCCACACTAGAAGGCTGAAATGATCAGCTGGGGCCCAGTCAGAGTTTTAATTTAATGGCAGCTGCCTTCATTTTTAATCCTTCATTCTGAAGACTGAGGCTGCAGAAGATCAAAGTGGATGCCTCCATCTCAGCATGAGGCAGCAGATAACTGAATGCTGGCAGGGAGGTGACAAAGTGAGGAGCTGGGAACTAACACTTCTCAAGATGAATGGCTGCCCTCTGCTTGAAGCAGACAAGACGGGGACAGTTTCTGCACATGAGATTCACTGGCAATCTTACTACAGGAAACCAGATTTGGCAGACTGTCTAGATTTTAGGTTTCATAAGTTAATTACTATACCTGGTTTTTCCATACAGATCCTGAAAACAAAACAAAACAAAAAAAACCCCTGTTTACAGCAAGGGTCTTAAACTCACTTCATGCCCTGAGCCAGATCCTAAGCAAAGGGCTCTGAGGGCTGGATCCAACCCAGGGCAGGTGGTGGTGGCAGGACAGGCAGCAGAGGAAGCAGGACAAGCCTGTGGGCCAAGAGGCCACTTGCCACAGCAGGGGCAGTGGCAATAGCTTAAGCAATTGTAAGGCAACTTGGGCTGTATTAATCCTCACTCTCCCTCCTGTTGCTGAGGGCCATGTCCATCAGTGCCCAGGGGCCCCGAATTTTGCAGCTAGCTTTGCTCTTAGCCTCATCCCCTGCTTTCAGTAGCCTGGTAGGTCAGGCAGAGCACTCTGAGGGGCCATATGTTTGACATCCATGGTTTAGAGGCTACATCAAGCAGACAGCCAATATATTTATCAAAATCTGTGAAATCTGAGGATGGTTGCAAAAATAGCTGAAGTGTAAAATTGGCAACTATTAGGGCTGCGCGAAGCTTTGGTCCCTGATTTGATTTGGCAGAGATTCGAACCGATTCGGTGGCTGAATCTCCTAATCCGAATCGAATCAAAGGACCCTTTAATCTCTCCTAATTGATTCGGACGTAGATACAGCTTTAAATGTTTTTTCCTACATAACTCTAGGTAGCAGGGGCTCTGAACGCTGCGGCGCTGGGGCAGATGCAGTATCCCATAGAAGCACTGGGGCTCCCCAGCGTGCTCGGCAGCAGACCCGGTAGTGGACCAGAAGTGCTTCCTGGGTCCACTGGGGAGCGCCCCCCCCCACCCGCTCGACAACTGGTGCCTCCTGGGTCTGCAGGGGAACCTGGGCCCTGGCTCGGCAACTGGTGCCTCCTGGGTCTGTGGGGGCACCTGTGGTCCCCTCATGGCTGATCGCTGAGCCAGAGGGGCATGGGGGAGGGGAGGGCCCCAGTGCACTCCCCAGCAGTGGACCAGAAATACTTCCACTCCGCTTCCAGGTTCACTGCCGAGCACGCTGGAGAGCCCCCCGCACTACTGTGGGACGTTCCATCTGCCCCAGCACCGCAGTGATCACGAGCTGCGCCTGATACCTCAAGGTATGTAGAAAAAAAACTTTTAAAGCTGTGCCTGTGTCCAAATCGCTGATTGACTGAATAAGCATCGAATCTTCAGATTCGAATTTGGCCAAATCGAATCAAGGACAGTGATCCGAATCAACAGATCGAATTGCTGTCCCCGATTCGGGCCGAATCTGAATCGAATAGGGCCTGTTTCGCACAGCCCTAGTAACTATATATTTGTTCCAAATAGTCTTTTAACTGAAGTGGCTAATCAGTACTGAAGAAATGTCTGTAACCTCAGTTTTTAAGACAACTGAGGGATTTCAATTCTAATAATCCTTGATTTTAGCAGGAACACTAAACTGAAGTCTTTGAAGAGAATCTGTCAGTATAATGCACAGATGCTAAGAGCTCTGTATAAACAAAAGCCTAAACAGGAAGGAGAGAGCCAAATCCCAAGGTCTTCTTTGGAGAAAAGCTAGCTGATTAAGGATCTCCAGTGAGAATCTTGCTCATGTAAGAATGAGGCAAGAACTTCAAGTCATTAACTATGGGCTACACAAAATAAAATTTAAATTATTATTTTTAAACTTCGAAGAGATCTGGAACATGTACTGAAAAGTTATTGTTCCACATGCCCCCCCAATCTTTTAATATTATCATATTTCTGCGCACACTGTTACACAGAAGATCCCACCAAAAACCTTCAACATTCTCCAGGAGAGGTAAAAGGGGATAATTTTGCAGAACAGAGGATCAGACTTTCCTCTCTCTACCTCTGAACTCCCAAACTCCAAGGTGTTAAATTCTGTATTTTGGATTGACCATATCCATTTTAACCTGAGTTCTACCTTCTAAGCTTGAAGATGAGGCAGATCTATTATTTGAACACAGGATACACATACATATTCTCCCACAAATACTGCTACATTTTTCACTTCAGTTCTAACAAGTATCGTGCAAAAACAGATGCGTAAAACTTTCTGCTCATAATGTAAACCCATGGTTGTGTACATACTATATTTTCATAATCTATATTTACAAATCTATGCCAGCACCAAATCTATATATAAACCCTCCACTGCATTCCAGCAAACCTTTTGGTCTCCTAAGCTATCCAGCTGAATCACCTTTGAATAACAGAACCTAAAGTTACTTGGGCTAAATGAGTGGTGATCAGAAGACATGCACCAAACATTTGATATTACATTTTGAAATTGTTTGTTCTCTCTCAGAAATGTAACCTTGGCTTGATTTACCAAGAACCTAATTTTTTATAAGAGAATGCTTATTTAAAATTAGAGTGCAACTGTTTCTATTTAAAATTTTAAAAAAAACAAACAAATCCCCCACAAAACCAGTCTGTGGTTTGTACATTTTAACACTATTTGTGAATACTGCTTACTAAAGCAAAGCACTCACAAGAGATACCTGACTTGCACTTATACAAACTTGATCTTTTTTTCCGTTTTTCTAACAATTTACTCTTTTTAACCACACACAGGCAGTTCTGTTACTAACCTAGCTGAGCGTGTGCCATAAGATCTGCAAGCACAGTGGCAGCAGCGGTGGCAGTAGCAGTATTGGAAGCAGCAGCAGGTTTCCCTCCTGGATGGGATGAGGTGGAGGATGCAGAGGATGAGGTGGAGGAGCCCTGGATAACCCGGTTAAGCCAGGGCTCTACGTTGGAATGGCTCTGGAACGGAGTGGAGGTGATCCGCCCTTGCCGACGTAACGAGCCCTCATCTTCTGATGCAGACGATGTGTCTGTGATTAAAATAATGATGACAGGCATGTAATGTAGGAATGACCCAATAAACGGGAACATGAAGTCTTTCCATGTTCTTCATTTGGCTTTTCTCATGTGCTAAACATGAGATGCATGTATTAAGGCATATGGCACATTCACACGTGTAAATTCTGTTCTGTTGCCAGCTTTTCGTGTTAGTGCATAACTTCTATACAGGATCACTGAAAAACAATGTCTAACACCCTTGAAGCAACATACTTCATTTAATTGCTTTTTTTGGAATGACAAATAAAACCTGCTTAAATAAAGCCACTTCTCTTTCAGCATTTGAAATACAAAGTAATCATGTAGAATAAAAACCACACACCTGACAAACAGAGTAAACACTATCTACTTTTCAACTGCATGAGTGCAACTCAACCCCTTGGTAAAGAATCAGATTCAGCATTTTCCATTTGAACCACTCAACTATTTGATATCTCTAAACAGATTCATAAAAACAATTACTGAATAAAGCACAGCCACAGACCAGCTAATTAACTGAAAAGTAACAAATTTCAGTGAACTAAGTGTATTACATTTCTTAAGTCTCACTATAGCTAAAATTATTTAAAACACAATCAAAAAGGTATATTTCTTAATCACATAGTGAAATGCATTCGGGATTATATGAAAAAGCTTATTCAAGTCTACGATTATAATAGGGGCAAACAGAATTTACTGCTGTCAAGGTCTGATAAAAAAAACAAAACTTCCATTCTCACTGTTTGCTTGGAGTCATTTAAAACTTTTTCAAAACCTCAGTTTTTGGACTAAAATTTTCCAAACTTGTATTCTATCCAGAAGATGTTTTTTAAGGTCAGAGTAGTAAGGCTTGTTTGACTTTAGTGAAAAATAGGGAATTAAATCATAAAATGAAAACTAAAATGGCACATAATTCTATGGTTTAAGCTTCATGGCCACCTGGTCAGTAATCTAAATTCATTTACAGGCAGAACTGGGGATAAAGTAAAGGGAACTACTGACTCTAAAGCAAATGGGACCTAAAAAAGGGCCCCTGCCAAATTTTTACAGTGTGAAAGGGCTAAAGAAAGGTTCCAGCCTTGGAAGACAAAAGTTACCAAGGACTACAGATGATTAGCAGGTCCCTTCCCTCAGTCTTGACTAAATGTTGTAGGACTGCCAGGCTCCTTCTTGACCAAGTGTCACAAGCACTGCAAGAGTTCTGCCTGTTGGATTTCCTAATGTGCCCTAGAGAGCCTGCAGGTTAGTAATGTGGGTCTTTTCTGAGAAACTCCTACAGTAATCTTAACTTTGGCATTTCTCAATCTTAAAACACTTTAATTGTTCAACTTCAATGCACTATTAAGACAGTTTTAGCATGAAATTACATAAACAATCCCAGTTTATATTTGGCAACAATACATTTTATTTTTGAAAATCCTAGAGAACAAACATTTTTAGTAATTTCAGAATGACAGTGCTTGCACAGCATAAAAATATATGAAAACTGGAGATTACTTTTCTGGTAAAGAATATCCCCAAATGCATTCAACTGTGGCCTCGTCAAAGCTAAACTTGCAGATCTTAACAACCTAACCATTTCTGCTCAAGTTACACATTTATGCCTAGTAAGGATATTTTTATTCAAAATATATCCCTTTATCTGTAATAATTACCCTTTGCAGGGATACAGCTGTGATAGATCACCATTCTTGGGTCCATGCCTTGTGCAGAATACTTCTGGTCAACCCCCATAGCTTAAAGCTCTTGGCTGCCAACTCTAGTGGGGGCCATTACAGCCACCTCTGTAGTGGGGCCAGAGTAAATTATTAATATCTACAAATTTAATTACTTTTAGGCAAAAGGGTTTATTCCATCCCTCCCTTGTCCCACCAGTACAGACCTGCACTTCTCCGTGCTGGCTGCTCCAGTGATGGGGGCAGAGCCAGCCCCAGCCCCAGCAGTAGCCTTGGCTGAACTGGCCAGAGAGAGGTTTAATTCCGTCCTCCCTGTTCCATTGGCAGGGACCCGAGCCAGGTCTGCTGGGCACTCCCCCCTTGCTGCTGCAGCAGTGGGGATGGATGCAGCCAGAAGCCAGCCATTATGGCCCCTGAGGCAGAGGGGGCAGGGAGTGGAGTTATATTTCCCCCTCTACCCCCATGGGACCACAGCCAGGTCTGCCCACCCTGACTACCACTCGCTCCCTGGTTGGGGCAAGCAGCGGAATAAGTCCCCTTCTGCCCCTCTGTCAGATGCTGGAGGGAAGGGGAATAATCCCCCTCCCTGTCTCCTCTGCCTCAGAGGCCATGCCGGCCAGTGTCTAGCCATACCTGGTCCCATCATTTCAGCAGCAAGGAAGGAGTGCCTGGCAGACTCAGCTCAGGTCCATGCTCGTGGGATAGGGAGTGGAGAATTAAATCCCTCTTCGGTCAGTTCATTCCAGGCTACTGTCCAGGCTGGCCACACGCCCCCCAGCACAGCTTCCCTGCAGCTGAGAGCACACTGTAGCGCCCCCTGGCACCTGGCCTGAGCAATGGCAGGCACATGCTGGCATTTCCTGAGTCCAGAGGGAATGTCTGTACAGTTGCAAATTGGTTCAACTTTGGCAGGTTAGACTAACTTACAAAGATTGAATCAAATCAGTCTCTGGCTTTCTGAATGTCTGTCCCTAGGTGAAAATTGAATTTCATGAAATAAAATAGTTCTCCCCCAACTACAAAGGGATTTAGGTAGGGTCTATTACAGCTATATGCCTTCTGAGAAGGAAGGTTTCAGATAAGTAGATTTCTCATTAAAGACTCCTACTCTGAAAATACCCCATATTTGGGAGTAAAATTCCAAGAAAGCTGCTCTATAAAAACAGCAAACATAGAATAATGAAGTAAGAAAATCAAAAGTAGAAGTAACACAAGTCAAAATAAAAAGCTAAAAGCATTTTGGTTAAAACAAATGAAAAATTTAATATTTGTTTTAGAACAAAAGTAAAAAAAAATACAGATAAATGTGATACCTACAGGAGGAAAATATAACAGACAAACAACTCCGCCCCTTAAAGCACTAGGTTACATAGGTATTCCAGATATGATATAAAAATTATTATGAAGTGCAGAATAGGAACAATTACAACAGTAAATAATTGTGACAATTAGCTAAATTTTGAGTCTCGATAAACTGTGCAAAGAAAACTACGTAGTTACTTTACACTGGATCAAAGATGCATCCAACACTATTTAAATTTGTAGTTCACACCAAATTTGAGGAGAAAAGACTCAGCAAGATGAATAGAAGCATGTTAAAAATGCTAAGAGGATGATCGACTGAGTAAAGGAAGGTTTAGCACCATAATTAGAAAAATTTTGCCCTTGACCTTAAATTTATGTAATTAATTTCTTAAATTTCCTCATGCTGAGCTGAGAAACTGACTTCTTATATGAGAAATTTCAGTTTACAACTATTAAGAAGACGACTTCAACTTGGAGCAACATTAATTTCAGACAATGGAAAGATTTATAATGGAACTGTTCAAAACCACCAAGTCCCAAATGCTCCATATAACTAGAAATGGAGACAAAATGCTTTATCGTAGATTATTGCAGAAAGCCAAAAAGCGCATAAATGTGCTATTTGGGAAGTAGCCTACAACCCAACAGTAAAGAACAGCAGTATTCATGCAGGGTCTGAAAAATTATCCATGTAGGACTGTATCTACAAACTTTTTCTGCTGAAACTGGCATGCCCTCCCAAAAAGTTGGGACAACCCGATAAAACAAAACTTCAGCTTTAACACTTTAGGAACTGTATTGATTGGAAGATGGCACACATCATTAAATGCAGGGAAAAGTCATGATTTCATGTGATTAGGTGTGCAGCAGGATTAACTACCACAGTATTTACCTGCATTGAACAACAGGTGTTACTAGACCAAATACACACATTTTTCTGAGTTTTGTCAGATGACACACATACATACAATTCCACTTTCAAACTGATGGGAAAGACATTGCTTTAAAAAGTCTTTCTGGTGACATGGATACAAAACACTAGTAAATTTTTATTTACAGAAGTGGCAATAAAATTATCCTTTTTTTTTTTTTTTTTTTTTTTTTTTTTTTTTTTTTTTTACTACACCACCACCAGATCTAAGATGCATTTAGAAAGGTATATTAATGATCCATTTAGACTGTGCAATCATATTAGGCGCATTTGGCAATGTCTTCACAGAAACTGTCAAATCCTAAACCTAACAGAGAAGGAAAATGGCAGAGTAGGTCTGCACCTTACAGACCAACTAAATCAGAGATACTTAAACTTTCTTGAGTAGCAGCTTACTTCATCAGGTACTAAGAGGGGAGCGCAGAAAGCTGAGCTTCTAACAGAAAACAGTGATCAGAATAGAAAAGGTAGGGAAGAGGGGAGGAAAAAGAAAGGAGCACTGCTGAGAGTGGCAAGGTGGATAGAAGAGAAAAAACAAAGCAGTTCACCTATTAAGGGACATAGGGACTATAAAAACCAATCCAGGTAATGGAAAAAGAATCTACAGTCTCAGTTTAAACTATGCTTAACATAGTCCAACCTGTGGATGATTTCTTGGTCTGCAAGAAAGAAGAAAGGAATGGGTCAATTCTTCCATGTTTGTTCATATCAATTTGGTGGCATGACTGGGTCAGGACTCTGTGATGAACCACATAGCAATCTGCAATGTTTGACATAAAATTTGTTCTTGGAGAGGTCAAACACCTTAGTGTGCTTAAAGCTACTTCATGAGGTTTCTCTGTTCAGGGAGTGTGTTCTGTAACACCGTGGCCAGGATGCTCAACATTTTTCAGCACAGTTCTTTATGGAAGCTTCTACTGACAAATTTAGTTGGCGAGATTCCAAATGTTGCATCTTGTCCAGAAGTAAAGCCTTTTGGAGGAGCCATATCTATCAAGGCTTGTATGCACTCCACTGTCTCTGACAAACAAGCTCAGCCTCTGGCTATCTATCCATGAAACTCTAGTGATTCCAGAAAGTGGAATTTATTTTTGTCTTCCATCCAAAACTATATTCTTCTTTGCTTGCATAATTTGCTCATCAAGGAAAAAAACACTCTTATATCATTTGTAGAAACATCATTAAGTATTTTGTGAATACATGCAGCAACAGCATCAACACGGTCACAAGGGTTTTCAAATGGTTGGCCTGATTTCTTAATGACATGGAATTTGGCTGGTTATTTTGTCCTCCTATATAATACCAATCCTAAGTCACACAAACCATCAGCTTCCCCTAGTTGCAGCACTAACTGTTCCTAGAGATCCCATTGAACTTTCCTTTCACTACATAGATGTTGGGAGGCTTTAGCTTCCTGGTACGGTACACATACAAAGTACTAAGGATGAGTCAATGCATCTGATGTGACCATATGGTGGTGGGGAGGAATACCCAACCAGAGAGAACCTCTCATGCAGCTAAAAAAAGACTTCCTATTTGTCCCAATTTTTTTCAAAACTGAGATTTATGCTTCCTGGAAGTAGGGTTCTAAATTCTGATTACTGCTGAAGAAAGGAGCGCGCCATGCCATGAACAATCCTAAATCCACACTTAAAAGTGCAGCCTGGCATCTTTATTAATAATTCCCCTTGTCAGCCCTAAGGGAGATGGGGACTGGATGGCTGACCTTATAAACCAGTGGTTCTCAACCAGAGTGCTGTGAGATCTTTTGAAAGATGCTGAGAGGTGTGAAGGGATAACCAGGTATGAGGATATAATAGCAGGCTCAGGTTCCTCCCTACCCTGCTGCCCTGTACCCACTGCCCAGCCCTTCTGCAAGGAGGCAAATGCTGTAATAAATTAGTTAGTTTTTGAAACGGGGTGCTGCTCCATTCACAAAAGTTATGGAGAGGTGCCTTGTGTTTAAAATGTTTGAGAACCACTGTTATAAACAAAGAGAAACTAGCTTCAATTCTCAATAAGCCTCTGCCACACTGCTCAATGGAAGCTCAGTGTTCACAGCCATGCCCATCTCTATTCTGGCACGAGCTACTTACATTACCAAGGTTCCAAATACTTGCAAAGGCTTGAGGATGGTTCAAGGGTTCTAAAACATAAATTTCAGAGCCTCTCCCATGAAATGATGAATGAAATACCTCTACTGTCTTTGTATGCACTTGGGCACTCTTTCACTTAAGGCTTGCATCTTTAAAGCAATCAAGGCCAACCCAAAGTCTAACCCGTTTAAAAAATATATTGTGGGATAACAGGAGAGGTGCATTCAACACAGACCATACCCAACCCTCAGCAACCACAATCCCTTCCCTAAAGTAAACATGGCTTTGGTTATGTTTTCCTGAGATTATTACCAAAATTTTTTAATATGGTAGACATCACCCACCACCACATGGGACTTTTTTTTAAAAGTTGATTAGCTGCTTCTTTACATCTGAAAGAAAAATAAAAGGAAAAAAAAGAGAACAAACTCAGATTGCTACAAATATGTTTTTGTTAGGAACGGTAGGCAAAGGATCGTTATACAAAGAATATGTAAGCATTAAAGGAAAAGTTGTACTTCCTTTATAAGGAAATACTGTAGAAGGAAAAGAATAATGGAGCCCAGCAAAAAAGGAGATAGCAGTACAACAGGCCAAGCCTGCTCAGCCATTGATGGTTGTAAGAAATGGAGCAGATAGGTGATGGCACTAGAGGTCACTGTGACACTAATGCTGGGCAACATACAAAACAAAATCATGCCAAGAACAAGCTACTCCTCCCTAACTTTAGACCTGATGGGTCATATAATTTGTATACACGACAGTCAAAGTTATGTAACTTAAGTAACATAGCATCTTCATAAGAAAAATGTTTCTCTTTGTCTTGGAGGACTCATTGCAAGAAGGCTAAAGTAATATTTTCTTTCTTTAAAATTAGTAGCATTTTTCCGTTAAATTATATACTAGATTAGACTGCCTCAAAAATGAATGGCATGTGATGAGCTCTAGGCATGAACCATAGATGTTTTAAACTAAATAGGAGGCTACCCTGCAGCATAGCAAAGAGGATTTTTTTTAAACTTCAATTTTTAAAGCATTTTCCACAGTTCCCTGAAGAAAAGGAAATGTTTAATAAAGAATCTACAAAGCTCTGGCATATTTTTGCCAAGAACACATCATTCAGAATAAAGCTTTACAAATGACACAGGCAGTCTTCTGGGCCTATGAAGGACAATTATTTACCACAAAGTACTGAAGTTTTTAATGTCTGTCTTAGCAATAGTGCAGCTAAGAAGGAGGACTCAAAATCTTGTGGAAAGTAGTACTGCCAGGGATCAAATCCACCCTAAATTTTAGAACTGGAATCAAGATTCACATTGCATGCATAAAACTTTCTGCAACACCCAACTTGTAGGACAAACAGCAGCATTCATTCATTACATTAATAATGTAAAGTCTACCTGACAATATTTACGTATGTTGACTTATTAGGTACCTGGAGGCGTGTATGTCTCTACTGATGAGTGTACAAGAACAGAACGTCTTTTGGAAGGCATGGGCATTTTCCTCTCTTTGTATTTAGCCAGTGCTGCTTGTACAGCTTCAGTATGAACATCTATACAGAAACAAAAACAAAAAAAAAAGGATTAGTAAAAAAACGAAGAAAAAGTAAATTTTCCTTCAAAAGGTTCCATGCATTCTCTGGCTGTTTGCAACTAATTATTGCTTAATAATTCCATATAAAACTTGCTCAGTTTACAGGTCAAAAAAACCCAAAACAAAGCAGTTATGGCCAGCATAGATTCAATCTTCATTAGAAGTGTTGTGTCATAAATGATTTGTAATACTAATGCTTTAATTTCACAATGTACACACAGGAGCTCTTTTCTAAACATCCATTTGTCTCACCACAAGTTAGTTATTCAGTCTGATACAGTATGTTTCCAGTCTCAACAGCAGCAGCATTTTCTCAGTTCTGATGGGACAGTTGAAAAGACAAAGGTCTAAAGCCAAACAACGGTAACTACATTGTTTTTAATTTATCAGAAGTAATACTTGCATTTAATCATCAATCACTTAAACAGCAAATATTTCAGAATCAATGAAGCTAGAGTTACTACAAGCACAAATCTTTGTTCCTTTGATTGAGAAACTTAGCAAGAGTACTAAGAACATGTTTTAATGTACATTCACCTGCAATGCTTGAATCAATTTTGTTTTAAGTGCTGTTACAAAGCATCACTAAGAACAGCACGTAGAGTGCTCCTATACACATGTGCAGAGCTTGATCCGATGCACTGGAAATAGAGTCTCCTGGAGTATGGAAATTGCCGCGCTTTGGCAGCCTTCCATGTCATGCGTACGAGTGCCACTACATGTCTCTGCACTGAAAAAGTGGGGTGGGTGGGGAGGGGGGGCACTTTGAAATAAAACACCTTCAATGAGCTTTAGTTCAAAGTGTCCCACCACCATTATTTCAGTGAGGGGACATGCAGCAACACTGATGCACATGACGAGCCAGCACTTTTAAGTAGCACGGCTCATTAATTAAAGCGCCCGTGTTGCATTCCACAGCACATGTAAAAATGCTCAAAGGTTCCGCATTTACTCTCTGGCTTTTCTATTTCTTATTGCTTAAATGATTTCATAACAAATTTGCTCAGTTTATAGGCTAACAACACATTTTTTAAAACCTAAAAAGCACTGTCAAATAGGATTTGTCAAAGGTAGGATCTGAAAAACCCAGCTGTTATCTGCCACCTGTAGTATTGCTGGCTATGAATAGAACATGACAGACAGTTAGGTGTGAGATGCATAAATCCACAACCTATCTTCCACAGTCATGCAGAGTTAATAATATTAACAGTAGTAAAAAATTATTTTCAAACAAACACATCAACAACCCATATGCTGACTAAGGTGTATCGATTTTTATTTTAATGGATTTTATTCATTTTTTTTTTAAACTATAAACAAACTGAAAATCTGCTACCCTAGGAAAATGTATTTATTGACAACTAACACTACTACATTTGCTGAAAGATTTGGCAGAATGAGCTCAATGACCTGTGTATATTTTTCTGGAAAGACATACAATTTTGCTACGTGACTAGACAATTCTTAGTATAAAATACTGCTCAATTTATTCAGGAAATAAGCTATGTGCTTCTCCATACACAAGGGTGTACTTGTTAGCCGTGTTGGTCTGAGAAGAAAAGATATTAAAAAAACTAGAACTCTTGGTTCCAAAATGATCTTTTATTAAGCCAACTGGAAAATGGCAAGAAAAATGTACTTTTCTGCAAGTTTTTGGGATCAAAGTCCCTTCATCAGGCTCTGGGGAAAGTGTAGATGGTACAAGATGGTAAAAAGTCCCCATAGGTAGGAAATAAACTTCATTTTTGCACAGAGGGAGCTGAAGATGGAAGTCTGTCCCTCTGGGTCCACGACAGTGTCTTTGTGAGCTGTGTTGTGTAGTTCTTTGACGTGTTGATCAGGTAGAATTCCTTCCCTGGAGGTGTCAGATGGGAGGCAGGGAGGCAAAAAAAACTTGCTTGTTGTTCTGCAATTAAGTTTAAAATCCAAAATTGGCTAAAATTCGGCATCTTCCATGTTTCAGGGGTGTACTTGGTAGCCGTGTTGGTCTGAGACAAAAAGGCATTAAAAAAACTAGAACTCTTGGCAAAAATGACATTTATTTCCTACCTATAGGGACTTTTTTACCATCTTGTACCATCTACACTTTTCCCAGAGCCTTATGAAGGGACTTTGATCCCAAAAGCTTGCAGAAAAAGACAATTTTCTTGCCATTTTCCAGTTGGTCTAATAAAAGGAATCATTTTGGAACCAAGAGTTCTAGTTTTTTGAATGTCTCCATATATAATACTCTTTGTGCTGCAGAAGATGCCAGTACAACGAATAAATATTTAATAACTGGAGGACCTATACTCAAATTCAGGACTTTTGAAGATTAGAATATTTGCTAAAATTATAGGCTTATTATCCTTAAATCCAGAAATGCAGTATTTCTGCTAGGAATCTGATGAGAAATGGTTTAACATAATATTACATGATATCTACCCATTTAATCATGGCAGAACTTGGCAGATGACAGGGTCTCTTCCAGACTCTGTCTTCCTTCAGTACACATGGTTGAACAAAATGCAGCCATAAAAAAAGTTCTTTCAATTAAGATATCTATACTATATAGTAAAAATTATATTCCTACACTTACATTTTTTTCTGCATGATGCCAAACATACAATTTTATAGCATGCCTAAGAACAATCTGAATTTCTTGAGGACATATTATATTACATATCTATTTCTAAAAAACCCTGTAAAGTCCGACAACATTTCTCTTCATGATCATCACATTTGAGCCTATCCTTTAAATGCTCTCGAATTTTCTCCAACTCCTCTACAGATAACTTCACTTGATTCAACAAGCTATAGTGACAGAACCAATGGCTGTGGCAGGGCCCTGTTGGTGCCTGCCACTTTAAGGACTGAGCCAAACAGCCGGTAGGTGCTTGATTACAGTAGCCATTTTAGAACTCTGGCCGCCTATATAAACAGAGTAATTCGCTGCTGGCAGGCAGGCAGAACCATTGCTCGGCTGAAAGGCTGTACGAAATATCCTGAAGGTAAGGACAGGAGCTTAAAAGGATGGTTTGGAGGCTCCTGGTCCTGAGCGTGACTTAAAACTGCACCCTGCCAGGAGTGGGTGGCCTGGTGGGGTTCCTAGTGGCGCGGCAGCCCCCAGGAAATAACAGGCCAGTTACCACCCCGGTGAAAGGCAGGTCAGGGCACCTTAGCCCCTCGCCCCCAAAATGCTGTGGGTACAAGGGGGGCTGGCATGGCTATGGCCACCTGAGCCCTCACCGGGGGGCGGAGATGTGGAGCCCCAATGATGGGGAAACCAGAGGGCTAGGAGCCCAGGATGTGTATGTGAGTGTTAACAGAGTTGCCCCAGGAGGGGCCAGGGCAAGCTTGGCCCCGGTCGGGTAACTGGCTGGCCACTATCCTGGTGAGGGTCGCAGGAGAGGCCCAAAAGACTCTATGTTTGCCACCCAAGGTGTACGCTAGGTAAAGCCTATGGCCGAAGGGGCTTTCTCCGAGAGGGAGAAAGGTGGTACAAGTTCTTGATGAGTGAAAGAGACCCTATGAGACGGGTGGAGCGCGAGAGGGTAGTATGAATGTGTGTTTGTCTGAGGCCTGAACAGCAAGAGCCAAGCTTGTTCTGGCTGTAGGCCAGGAGCATTGTCACCTGGATGCCATCTGCAAGGCTTGGGTTGCAGTGTAGGAAAGAAATGGAGTTACAGATAGCGCCTCTGGCATCAGGGCAAGAATGGGCAGCCTCCCACCTTATTGGAACCAATTAAGAAACAACAAGGCGTGGCAGAAGAGGAGGCAGGTGGTTGGCCCAGAAACAGATGGGCGGGCCAATGACAGACTGGCCCCGGGAAAGCCCCCTGGTATAGGCTGTTCATAGGTGTAGGAGGTAAAATCTTGCTTAAGTCAGGTCCCAGAAAGGAGCACATGCATTGTAGTTTCAGCCAAAGGCAATAAAACCAGGAGGTTGATTCCACCAACACTTTGGGAGATTCTCTGCTATTCTAATCTACATCCCTCCTCCAACCGTTGGTCCTCTTCTGTGCCCATTTGCAGTACACATCTCCAGGCATCAGTGAGGACCAACACCAAACAGAAGCATCATAAAAATGACATAGAAATTTCACTACAGCTCAGAAAAACTACTCATCAGTGATACCTAGCAGTCTTTTTAATTTCATTCTGCTGTTCAGTTGCTCAGGAAGACTACTTTATTCAGTTCAGAGTTTGGAAAGTTATTTTTGTAGCAACAAAAAATAAATGTATATACAAAATCAAAGATTAAAATTCTATAGAATATGCTTCCCTAGCAGCACCTTTTTCATACAGAAATACATTTGCAAACAACACAGGCAACAACATTTTAGTTGCATTTATTTTGGATAAATATATTTTAAATTGTTGTAATTTTTTTTAAAAGCATTCAAGAGGAATTTCCAAGAAGAATAAAAACTGTATCTTTCCAAACAAATCCAACCAGAATCAAAGATTAATGCACTAATAAGCAGCACAGTGAATTATAGCCCAACGTGTAACAATATTTCCCAGTGGGTAGGATGTGCTCCCGCTGGGGAATGTGGAAGTCTTAATGGCATGTGCATTAATTCAAACATACATGATTCCACAAGAATTTTGCTATACTACAGAAGATAAACCAAGTCCACTTCTGACAAACAAAAAGTAAAAGGAGTACTAAAATTTTGAAGAAACAGAATGCTTTATGACAGTGAGTATGTTCTGCTCTTAAGATCTAAATAGTCAAGAAACTACTTAACTCAAGTTTCTCATTTAAAGTACTCGGGCAAAAAGGAAATTGTCTAGTATAGTCATTCAGCAAATCACTGTCAGACTTCTAAAATAATTTTTGCTACCAAAAAAAAAGAGTCATCTATTGAGAAGGTTAAGGAAGAACAGATATTGCTTAGTTTTGTATTCCCCCCACAATGTATTGATACTACTTTATATTTTTAGTTGATTCATTTAGCTTCAACAAGTTCTATAACACTTTATAAAATAAAAAATAGGAATAAATCATTAATTTCAACACTGAATGAGTTCAACCTTTTTTCATCTGCAGACCCCTAAAATTTTTTGAATGGAAGTGAGGACCCCTCCAGAAATTTCAAATGTAGATGCAGGCTCCTCTGAATTGTAAGCATGGGTATTTACATACTTTTGATTGATCATAATAATCTTTTGTGGACCCCTTAGACAGTCTGTGGATCCTCACAGGTTGAAAACCAGTGCCCTAGATTATCTGTTCCACTTAAAAAAAAAAAAAAAAAAAAAAAAGTATGTATACAATTCAGTGCATGTTATACTGAATTGCAACAGTGTCAATCAACTTAATTTACTGTTTTAAAAGCATCAATTATGTAGTTTCATCCTTGAGCAGCACTTTCCATATCTGCCTTTTTACCTTTCCCCGCTTTCCTACCTCCCATACCTATGCCTATGGCCTGGTTTAAATTGCAGGCTCAGTGTGGCGGCGAGGTGCCCCCACAGGCTCTCAAGGGGGAGAGAAGAGAGCCCGCGGACCCCAGACCCTGGGAGCAAGCCCCCAGAGGGGCATACGTACCTCCTGGAGAGCAGCAGGAGCAGGAGCCACGTTTGCAGCCGCAGTCGCGTGAACTGGCATTACGCCGGCTGTGGCATCAGCTGTTCCCGGCAAGGGGAACAGCTGAGCCAATCCCAGTGGCCGTATTGGCCGCTGCGGGAAGATTTAAAAACCTCGTCAGAGCAGGGACAGGAGGGGAGCCAGAGAGAGTGAGCACGCGCTGGCAGCTCGTGAGGCGAGCTCTGGCACGGGGAGGAAGCAACCTAGCCTGCGAGGCTCTAGCAGGCAGCCCAGGGAAGGGCTCTAAGCCTCCTGCGGGAGGCAGAGCAGGAGGCAGACAAGAAGAGCAGGCGGAGGCACTCTTGCACACACCTGAAGGAGCTTGCTGTCAGGGGGCAAGGGAGCTCCTGGCTTGTGGTAAGGGAGAGGAAACAGCTGAGAATCTGGGAGGGAGCTGGAATAAGGGGGATAACCCTGCAGCTCCTCCTGACCCGGAGGAATATTTTCTATAAAAAGAGAGAGAGAGAGAGAGAGAGAGAGAGAGAGAGAAGGAAAGCTCCCTCCAGAAGGGAGGGAGAGTGACCGGAACCCCGGAACCGGTCTGAGGCCGTCATACGAGGCCAGAAAACATCTGTAACGCATCATCCAATGGCTGGCATGTGGACGGGGGGTAGGGGAGGTGGAGCCCCGTGGAACACCGTGTCGAACTGAGCGGCAAGAGGGGTGCAAGCCTCACACCCAGCTTGCGAATGTCATGGCCCAATCATGGCAGGAGCTGCCATTTTCATGGCACCAGCCCCCCTTTGGTTGAGAAGGCAGATTTAGGGTCATCTGGCTAGGTGAGCCCAACTCCCAGTGCCAGGCTGGGGGCAGGGATCATGAGTGCAGAGGGAAGGGAAATAAAGAGTTGTGAGGCAGGCAGAGGGACCTGCCCCACCATACCCCATTGGCTACAAAAAGGGAGCAGGAGCATTCTCTCTCTTGCTTGCTACTCTACAAATGGTAGAAATCTCCATTTGCTTTTTCTTCCTCAACATCTGATTTTTGCTCCTGGTGAAATAAACAACTATAGTACCAGAGTTACGTATAACTGAATTCAAGATGAGCATAAAAAAGAATAATTTTAACTCACATACAGGTTAAACTAAACTATAACCACTCGAAAAAGATCCATTCATCTAGAACACTGCCATCTTGCTCATCTCACAAAAAATAAAGCAGATGTAGAAAAGATTCAGAATGGGACAGTAAAATGATTAGGCATAGAAAGGCTTTGGTAGGAAGAGATATTAGAGAGATCAGTACTATAGTGTTGTAACCAAACAAATAAGATGGGATGATAATGCTAATAGTAGAAGCAAATAATCAGCATTATTTTAAATGGAAACAAATTAAAAGAAATGACAAATTGTATTGTGAACAAGCCTCTAAACATACAAATCGAAATTCAAAGAATAAATAAAAGGAATCAATGGTGTTTGTAAGTAGTATGGCCCTTCAGAAGTAGCACTCCCCTACCAATGCATGAATGTTCTAGTAGAAGCTGCTCCCCAGACCATCCACAACCACCCATTCACAGGGAGAAAAAATGCTTCTGTGCTAAATTCTTTCACAAGATATGAAAGTATTGAAGATCTTCTGGGTTCTGCCCAGGCCTTCTTATAGTTACAGCTATAACTAAGTATGATACCTACTGCTCTGTTTCTCTCAGATACTGATCAATGACAAGGTTCCTCTACAGTCTATATTAATATTTTAGTTACTGACTGTAATATTACATTGCAGACAGATTTGAAATACAAAAAGAGATAAATTTAAAGCAAGTGATTAAATTATACATTAAAGTTAAGCATCTCACCTCATTCATTTTCTGCGATATGCTAAACCCTCAAACTTGAGAAGTTCATTCCTGCAGAATTCATTACACTTATTTTCTTCTATATTTCCTTATATAGTCTATCCAAACCATTCTTTCAATTATTTGTAAAGAACTCAGGGAGATATACTACCTTGATTTTAGGAGCAGGGTTATGTTTTTCCCCCATATAATGCCAATTGTGCAAATATGATGCTTTAACTTACTGGCACCAACCATTTAAAAGTAACAGGTGACTCAAGGATTAGTAAATGTTATTAGTTATATGTGGGGCATTTGGGACTTCCTCTGGATGATTCCTTTGTTCTCCAGTCCCAAAACATATAGTTATCCTTGATGGCAAAGAAAAAAAACCCTTCAATCAGAAGCCTGTAGATAGTTATGAAAGAAAGACTTTCAAAAGCACCTGCCTTTCTCACTATTGTGAAAAGAAATTTCACAAAAAAATACAATGTATTTTAGCCACCTGAGCAGTAACAATAGGAACAGGATGCGACAAGGATATGGGTATTTTCACAAAAATTTCCAAACAGGTTTATCACATTGAAACCTGTTTGAATGTTAATGTAGAATATCCATTGTGACGTTTCCCTTGCTTGTGTATAATTGCTCCGAGTCAGGAAATGTATGAAAGGAGAACTTTAGTAAATATGATCATTCTGTATTCCTCATGTGAAAAAATTCTCAGTGGTCTAAATATTAACAGAGGGTGCTCCAATGGCAGGAAGCATGACTGTCATACAAATGGAAATTGTTATGCGTGGCGTAAGTCTGTAATAAAGGAAAAACTCAAAAATGTGTGTTCATGATTTTCTCCATCTGGGATCTGAGCAAACACTGCCTATGTGTGCATACAAAAAGCTGCTTTGGGGGTGGTTAGCTGATCTTCTCTCTTTCAAAAACAAAAAGCTCATCACTTTGTTCCTCAAGTCTGAGGTCTGCACTTCTTTAGTGGTTTAATGCTACTATGTAGGCATCCATTTTATTTCAGCTGCACTGATTTTTCTTACCAGATCGAAAGCGCTCATCCCTTGAGTTGGTAGAACGTGATTTTTGCTGTTTAGGTACAGCTGCTGTGGCTTGTGAAGAGCCTGGGATTCTGTTCTCTGCTTGCAGGGATGGGTCTACACCTGAAATACAATTCCATTCCATGTAAACAATTCGCGCTACAAATAAGACAGTAATTGGTTTAGCGATGTATACGCATTTGTACCATCTTTGACAGCTACTTAACTTGCACTCTAGTGCACACCTCTGTATGAAAAGTGAAACGAAAGGGAATGCCTTTCTTTAGGCAAAGCTAAATATACAGGTCAAGTTTCTGGCTCAAAAACTCTGAAAAGTGATAACATTTCATTAACTACACATAACTGAATATGCATTTTTTTAAAAAGATGCTGTCTCATATTTTTGTGCTACATATCTGTAAAACAGAAGTGCAACATAAAGCAGTCAATATTAAAAAAAAATCTAATAATTTACCTGCAACTTTTTATGACTAAAACTCATTACTTTATCCAGCATCTATCAAACATTATTGAACAGCTGAAAAACATGACATTGCTTCTATTAGCAATGTACTGGAAAGAAGGAGCTATCAAAGGTTGTGTCTCATCTTAATACAGTGCATCAGGAACAAGTCAGTGGAAAGAGTCAGACAGGTAGATCCAACTCACAGGAAACATTTCTCTTACAAAAATGTTCTGCACCTCAGAGCTATCCAATTAAACTTCAAGGATTTATTGTAAAGTGGTCAGAAAAAGCTGTATTCTCTCTAGCACTAAGATGGATGCTCTAAGCTAAATATCACCGAGATAGAGGTCAAATTTAAAGTGTTTTCATGGGAAGAGGTGAGGTGGGGAGGGGGAAGAAAAAAAAAAAAAAAAAAAAAAAAATCACTGGCTGAACAAGAAACCCATCTCTACCACCAAAGCAATTTAAGATTTTGCTAGTGGAAATGGCCTTACCTTTACACTGGATGCTGAGTAAGCTGAAAAGACGGTGCATGATTTATTTTAAAAATAAAAACTGAACTATATTCCTTTCACAGTTAAGCAACTCCAAAACAAAGCAGTTGAATTGTATAAATATGACAGAGGGAAAGGACAAAGCTGTGAGTAATTGTTGTTTATTCTGTGATACAAGAGAGAATGAAATCAAAAAACATAATTGGAGGATAACCTCACGAATTTCAAAAGGCCATGTCTACACTGCCTCCTCGATGAGCCTAGGAACACGGCCAAGAAACAAGTCCGGCCGCCCACTCTCACTAAGTGCACACAGAAGACTAGCAATTCAACAGCGCAGACAGCTGAGAGGGGCCCAGCATCAATGTTCCAGCATTGCTCTAAGGGGCTCTCTCAAGACAGAGCCTGAGCATGCTGCTGGGGCATGTCGTGAGGACTCCTCCAAGCTGCTTAACTGCTTAGCTTGGACACACAGAGGACACAAGGGAGGGGTCTGTTTCTTCACTGAACCAGGGTACCAGACATAAGTATAAAGGAGCAAACCAATTACCCATTTCCACTGCTCTCCTGCCTCTGAGAACAGTGAAGCAGATTCCTCAAAAGAAGGCACAATGAAGATTGAACTGTGTAATAACACTATGGGGGCAAATCTCTCCTTGACATCACTTGGTTTTTATGCCTTGAAGTATTTTCATCTTGGCCTTTATAAGCGCAGACGGGGTTTTAAAGTTTACCAAGCTTAATATTATACAGCACTATGCAAAAATACAGGGTCAGAGTCACAAAGGTATTTTGGCTCCTATCTCTTGTTGCAATCAGTGGGGAGCTAAACGTTTAAATACTCTGTATGGATCTGGACCATAATTCCTTAATTCATGTCAAATTTGCTGCACCTGTTTCACCAAGCAACAAGTTCTTGTATCAGAGCAAGTCTGAGCCTCAGCTGCTGTTTTGGAGCTTCTGTTGGTCTGAGTCACATTCAGTCATTTGCACTTGTGCAAAGTGAATGTGAAATGCTACCAAAATGAAGTGCTCCCTTTGCAGTGGTATAAAGAACTACCTGAGGAAGAGATAAATAGAAAATAAGGCTCCTTGTTTTTCCTAGAATAACTGGCTCCTGTTACAGTCCTGAAGAAGTCTTCTGCATGTCTCATCATACTAGTTTAATTTACAGCAGAGAGGCTGAACCACAGCAAGCATGAATTGTCATCACTCCACTGAACTTTCCTGCTTCGGAAAGAATAAGGCATTATTTAAGTACTCTTTACTAGTCATTTTGCATGTTTGTTGTATTTTCCAAATAAACGATACAACTAGAAACGGGGGGGGGGGGGGGGTTGAAA